ATGAAAAACGTAAATGGTTGTAAGAATATCACTATTCTAATCATCTAAAAATTAACTGACAATAACACTGTAGTATTAACAACAAGAATAGTTATGTCGTAGAAGTTAGAGGATGAAACAAGTATCTATCAAATTTAAAAGTTGCAATGGTTAACTGGGAAAATGTAGTTTCCTTCTTTAAAATGAAGTTGATGTAGCCTCATCAAATTTATCTAAACTCGAACTTTGTTAAAATATTTTTTTATCATAATATGTTTGAAAACAGCAGGCTTTCAGGTCTCAATGGATTAGAGAGTGAGTAAACTACTGAATGATTTCCTCCAGTCGCCTATGATAAATTGTCATGTTTATTCTGTTTATATATTCTTGTCATTTTATTGTATAGAAAAATCGTACTCTTATGAATGGTAATGTTTTATTTTAGGGGTTACCATCAATCATTGAGCTCGTGAGTAGCCATCACTTGACTACATCACATCACTGAATACCATTCATCGTTAACGATTCTTCTCATTCATTCGACAAGTGAAAACTTGTTCATTAACTTGGAGAAATATAACTCACAAAATTATCTAATATTTATACATAGTCATCATAGAGAACGTTTTCACTTTTACATAAATTATTAACAAACTATTTTTCAAAAGAATCTACAACCTGTTTAACAGGGAATCGTCATTCTTTAATGACATAAAACAAGCTGTGTTACACAACAAATCAATTTAAGTTGAAATTCGGACAAGTTTAGTCGATGACAAATATTTTTTGCTACTTACAATACCTAATACCTGTGTGCACCTACTGTACAGTTCAAGGAGGTGAGGTATGTCAAAACCAAGAACCCATTAACTGAATGTTTTGATTAAAAAAACTCTGATCAAATGTGTGTAAACAATCAAACAGTTGGATTGTTAGGACTCTAACAATTGTGAGAAGTAAACTAAAGACTATTTCCATGAATTAGCCAACAATTATAATTCCTAATAGGAATGTTATCACTAATTATAGTGGAGGCTTTCTCAACTAAATAGCTATTATAATAAGAATGAATTATGTCTAAATCGGTGACTTTGTTAACAACTGCAGCATTTATTACTACCAACAATGTGTAACATTATGTACTTTAATGAAAAGCGATTGCTTCGAAAATCTTAAAGAACTAATTTATTGAATACTTTATAAGTTAACCTTTTGATAAATAGATATCCTATATACATTATATCGAGATATGGAGAAGTAGATTTGACATGGAGACATGAAGACACTTTAGTGATATAAATAACAGTATTAGTTGATAGTAGTTAATGAGGTATGATATAAAATAATTACATCCTATCTAAATTTTATGTAAATTATCAATAAAGTACATCAATTATCTTATGCTAATTAATTACTAATATCATCATCCCAATCAAATAAAAAGATTGGCCTGTAAAGAATCTTAAGCGGTTATTTTGTAATATTTAAAATGTAAAGGAAACAGTGAGGTTAATTCTGGAGAAAAAGAATACTAAGCATTATTAGTGACTGTCATAGTTGATGTTTATAATTTAATGAATCTCTATTTTAGAATTACAGAACAGTACTGATCAGATCATATACATATTCAAAGGTGGGTTTTTATTGTAAAAGGACTAAAGAATGAATGAAAAGAATGTCATCAATAAGGTTAGGATATAAACATAACAGTTTTGTTTACAATGGATTTAGAATAAGTTATATTATTTGATAAGTTGATAAATATGTGACAGGTAATAAGCCTTTTCCTAGAAATATCGAGATTAAATGTTTTTATTTTTTAACAAGGATTACGAGAAGAATTCATTTACTCAACCTTTATCTGAAACGATAAAGGCTTATCAAAAACACTAACAAAAGTCAACTAAAAATCTCAATTTAAGGCCTCTATATATATTTCTGCGCAGTCCACATACCGCAGCTTATCCAAAGATTTAATCTGGCTTTTAATTGTAAGGAGTTAAAGGTGAAAAGAAGATTCTACATAACAGGTTTCAGTTGTCACTATAAACTGGAATTGTTATAAAAATTAAATTAATAATGATTACCTTATAATGACTAGAAATTTCTAGATATTTTATTATGAAAACCAATAAAAAGTTAAGGATATAAATAGTATCAAGGAATATCTCATTCACACCTTTTTTGACCCTCTAGTGGTTAATGTTGAACATTAGAGAATGTATAGACATGTGAAATTAGATCATATCGTACTTGAAGAAGATACCCACAAATGGTACTGTGTAGTATTACTAATTGATTGAGGTTAAACCAATAGATTTCCGATCATCAGTCTAGAGGTTAGGCGTCCGCATGTGATGTTGAAAGTCCTGGGTTCGGTTTCAGCTGGAATCATGTATGTGCACTGTTAAGGAGTTTCATACTAGGACAAAACATTTGTCTAAAGCCTTGCATTTTTCAGTGAAGAGGTTACTTTAAAATCAGTTTGTGATTAAAACCATGAAAATATATAGCCTTTCACCTGAAAATATCAAGAACCTTTCGGAACTCACTGATAATATGATTGGTTAGGATTACAAGAATTATTTACTTGAAGTTCACTCAACCACATGGATCGCATTTCGAACCATCAAAAAACATTCATTATTGCATCTGATAACTTGAAGATTTGCAATCATAGTTTTACACTTTTCACAACTTTATTGATTTTGATATTTCAAAGACCTCATGACTTAAGTTTGGAAAATGAGTCTAATTTTCTTTATATCTATAACGAAGTCGCAGGTTTTCTTAGGTAATGAAATGAAATTCATCTCCATTATAAATAAGAGTGATAGTGATTCTGCCTAAGACAATATAAAGAATTGAATATTTGAGCCAAAAGTTTTATTGGGTCATCAACAAAAGTTAAGGCGCAAACTCTCATCATAGATGTAATGAGTTTGGCTGACATGTTGTATCACCAGTGTTCAAAAGTATGTAGTGTCACTATTCAAAAGTTGTTACGTCTACTGAATGTTTATGGCAGATTTTTCTATCTGGTCAGCATACTGGTATAAATGTAGGTGGTTTTACCTATGTAATATTTACACCATATTTTAAGTCTCACAGAGCATCTTGAGCATCAAAATATATAAAGCCCTGAATATATAAATTACCAGAGGAAAAGATAATACGCACAGATCCTTGACAATTATTCAGCGACGTTTGTTTTTGCTGAACAAGTAAACTCAATATACTGTCTGTAGTTGTCAGTACTTGTAAATCAGATCCACTTAGAATCAAAGAAACAAGAATAAACACGACTGTTATGACTTTGTGCTAGATAAAACATTAGATTCAAGCATATGAAATCTCATTTTTAGATATAATTACGTTGGGGAAGATCATAACTTTTAGGCTAGGTTATCCAACATCCAATACCTTATTCATGAGCTAGTATAAACCAAATGACATCTCTATGTTCGCTTCTTGTTCTTTTGGTATTTGGTAACGTTCAGTGGATGGCAGTCTACCCAGTCAACTGCACTAGTTCTAGCCACTTGAAAAGTTCTTTATAAATCTGTATGCTCTGCTCCAGACACCAGCAGCCATCAAATCGCCAGACCCGAAGTTGGCTAATTGCAGTTTGGAGAAAATTATGATGCTTATGAGAATATAATTTCAGATCTAAGAAAATGAGTTAGTTATTTAATTCGTAGTGATGATTGGGTTAGAGGGCAAACGTGTACTTAAAGGAAACGAAACAGAAAAAACAAGCGAGATAGAATAAGCTAATGATCTGAAGAAAAGACCATGGTGACAACTAGCAAGATTCGAGACATTCATCAGGCACAGCTGGTCCAAGCGGTAAATGATAGTTCGTTTGAAAGTACGTGTTTATCAAGACTGTTCTTGAAGTCATTCATTGAGACGGCTTAGATGACTTCGAATGAGAAGGAATTGCAGGGTAACCGACTTAATACTGTCCCTAAGAGGACGAGAATTCATTTGATGCAAACAAACCGATTTAAAGAAAAAATATTTTAGACGAAACGGACACGGTAGAATATCTCATCCAAAGTTTCTGTTGTTCGTATATAAACCGCTTTCATTATGTTGGGTAAGAGTTCAGATAACAGATAGATAACAATCAGAGATCGTGTACTGATAGACTAAAGGAATTCAAATCAAGTCAAGTGGTCATGATGAAGGTCATACTAGACAAACTTCCGTAACCATAGAAAGTTTTTTATCTCGTCAATAACTCTCTCAACCTGTAGGAATTTTATGCTGAAATTATTCTGCAGCTATTAAAGGCTGACCAGCAGTACACGCACTTATTCTTTCTTTGGATGACTTAACCAACGTATAGGTGAAGAAGTAATTGAGAGAGCTTTGCTTTCATTCTTAACCAAAATACTTTACGCAATCATTCCATATAATTAGCAGTGTTATTCACTTATGGATCAGCGGGACTTAGCATGTTTATTCTTATTATTCGTTAGGACGTTACCATAAATTTTCAAACCTGAGTAGACAAGCAGTTTTATTTAATAATATAGAACTGAAATGTTAAGTTAAGACTACTAGTAATAGCAAAATCCTCACACAGAATGCCATAAATGGAGAAAATATTCCTCGATATTTCAAAAATGGTACAAGACTTTATTGAGATATGGAGAATTTTGTACAACAGGCGATAATTGATGTTGCTTCTTGAAGAATTTCCTCAGTGTTCAAGGCCTTACATCTTTCTGACCACCATGAAGTGAGCAAACACTTAAAGTTTAAAAATCAAGTATGCTTGCATAAATATATATGTAGTTCCAGAGTCTCTTATTTGTCTCAAACATTTTTTAAAATTATTTTAGGACGACATCTACTTATCAACAGATGGTTCGGTGAAGGACTTCGGAAAAAGGATAGTTAGAGCGTAAGCTTAAAACAAATATATTTATCATGATATTCTACCCTAAAATAGTTCATGACACTGTATTTACTGTGTGAACCTAAATAATGTTGCGCGAAAAAGTGCTTACTTTTGGTGTTTCTGTATTTTCCTGCGAAGGATCAAGCATAGAAAAATATGGAACGAATTCTATGCAAAACTACTGGCGAAATTATGTATTAGGATGAAAATCATATCCAAACCACTCCTTGCTGTCATGTACAGGACATTTCTGGAGCAACCTTGAGATTGAAAATGTACAAGTTAGGTTGCTCTTGATAATTTATTGTTTAGAACACTTGCAATGTACAATGATTTTTCGAAGACCAACTACTACTTGCCGGTCTTACAGAACGTTTATGGATGCATTTTATCTACTGTAAAGTGTTTATACAACTTCTGAGATTTAGCTGGATTGAAAACTTAGTGGTGATGAGTCACTGACAACCAGCGGATTTCTTGGCAGTTATTTCTTGATCATAAGTTGGAAGCATTTGAAGATTCCTCGTTTATTCATAGTGAGATTTCGAAGTCAGCTGACTGTATGAGCTTTAATGAAAAATCATCTCTAAATTTTATCGTGTGCATGTTTTCTTTGTTTGCTCGTCGATCTTAAATTTCTTATTTCGTTGATACTGAACAACTTCCATGGTCTGTAGCTGTCACATCACCAATTAGATACTTACTTATTTTCAGTGACGATAAATATTCAGATTTTTAGCAAAAAATTCACGAGATATTTTGTGCTCCATGTCTTTGACCTGACCAGAGAGCACTGATATTTCTGGACATGATTTACCGCAATGTACGTCAATATCTCCAATATCCAATAACTTTTTCACTAGCTAGAATAAACTACTTGATTTTTATGAGCTCAATTCTTGTTCTTTAGGTACGATTCCAGGTGTTTGGTAGTGTCAAATGGATGGTAGTCTAGCCACTCGATTACTTGGTTCTGATCAGTTGGTATTTGTTTGGAAGTTTGTATGTCCCGTGATTTAAATGGATAAGTTTATTTCAGAGCATCAGGGTGCCTGGATACCAGCAGCTATCACATTACCAGGCCAGAGATCAGGTAGTTGCATTCTGGAGAACAATAAGGAGAAAATTCTAATGCTAATAAGAATAAGATTTCAGAACTAATTAATAAACGGGTGATTTAGTTCATTAACTGCGAGTGTATATATTGCGAGAGGATAGAAGTCTGAGTAAAGCAAAGAAAATAGAGATGCTAGGCGAGATAGATTATCTTCGTGATCTGAGGAGATGACAATAATGACAACTATCATATCTCAAGATATGCATTAGGCACAACTGGTCCAAGAGGGAGATGATAATATGCATATAATTAGGTGTTTATCAAGTGTCTTAAAGCTGTGCACTGAAAGGGGTGTGGTCAGTTCTGCTCGGAAAGCATTCCAAGTTGCAAAGACACTTAATGAGAAAAAGTGTGCACAAACCTGATGGTTCGCTCTTTGATGCTCACTTTTTCGAGGATTACCTCAAGGGGCGTAGTAGTGGTGCGTCGCTAAGACGCTTACGTTGGGATGGTTTGGCGTGCCCAATATGTTATATTCCATAATCAGATTACCTCTGACCTCCTGTAATTTAGGCAATAGTCCGAAGCGCTGGAGTATATCTTCGTAAGTTTTTATTTTTCAACCTTATCACCCATTTCGTCGCTAGTCTCTGCACTCGATCCAAGAGATCTATGTATCTTTTGACGAGAGGGGGTGAGACGTCGTTATGAACCTTACGGTGTGGGCGCGCGTATGTCTTAAACAACATTGGGAATAATGCAGGGATGATAGCACTACGTTTTCTTCTCCTAAAACGAAGATTTGATTTTGCCTTGGATGTGTCCTCAATGTAGTTTGAACTGGTGTAGAGGCTTTCAGTGCTTATCAAAGTGAGATCGCACTCTGAGGAGACACTAGGGAGCGGATTTCCATTGGGGGTGTAAGTCGATAACATCTTGCTAGGCAGACTGTAAATTACGTGATATTTCGGCTGGTTTTTTTTTAAACTGTTTTCCACTGCCCATTCCTCTATAGATGTAAGGTCCATTTGGAGCTCAGTTGAATCCTCATCACTTCTAATAGACCTCCAGATTTTTACATTGTCAGCGTAGATCAGTACCGCAGAGCTAAATATCAGTAAAAGGAATGGACCTAAGATAGTCTACTGTGAAACTCCCGATGTTGAGACTCGCCAGCTCACATGCACTCTATTTACCTCAGTGCAAAACTTTCTATTCTCAAAGTAGTTTCTCAGCCATTATACGAGCGGATCAGTGAAACCTATTTCCTCAACGTTCGCAATTAGAAGTGTGTTGGGTACTGTGTGGAGGGCTTTAGAAACGTCAAGAAATAATATGTGCAGTGGTATTCATCGGTCCCAGCAGGATATCCAACTGTGCCATGCTATGAGAAAATTGGATGCGCACGACCTGCCTTTCCGAAACCCATTTGGAGCTTCATAAAAGATTTTTTCTTATCCATATACTCCACCATCTATTCGTTCACCAGCTTTTCCATTGCATTTGATAGTGTTGGTAGTAACACGACTGGTCTGTAACAGGCTGGGTCCTTACTGCCTCCTCTTTTGAAGATTGGAGAAGGAGAGTAGCTTGTTTCCATTTAGTCGGGAGTTGATCTGACTCTAGTGAATGCCTCAACAGGTCACATTGGTCAACTGAGTGCTTCTGTAGACTGTTTTAAGACTATGAGACAAATATTGTCAAACCCTAGTGACTTTTCCGGGAGTAAGGATTTTAGTTTCCTTACAACTAAGTCAGGAGTGACACAGATATTCCCTACGCCGTAAGCAGGCGCTGGGTTTGGATAGTACTTTGAAAATGTGGATAACTTGTTTGACCAATCTGTGAAGTTGGTGTTGTAGATCTCAGCCATCTCTAGTTTGGTGAGATCTTCTCCATTCGGACCTTTGAGGAGACACGTACCCTGATTAATTGGTTTTCTTTTTGTCTTGAACCTAAACAAATGCTTAGGGTTTTTCTGTATTTGGACAACTAGCTTCACCCGAAAGCGTCTCCTATTACTTCGAACACTTGTATTGCATCTGTTTCTCAATGCCAGAGCTACGATCGGAATACTTCGGAGAGACCTTCCACTTTAGTCAGGCTCTCCTGTTCACCTGTAGCAAGCATTCAGTGTCTCGCCTAACCCATGTTCTTCTAGTTCTGGGTGTGTGGTGTGCCTGAGGCACATTATCTAGGACATCATTCTAGATGGCGTGTCTCACTGTTTGCCAGTGATAATAACCATTGCCGTGGTCATGGGGCATGCAGAGGGTTCTCTCTGCAAAGGTAAGGGTCATTTTCTCCATGTGTGAGTGTTTCGTTTTATAACCATGTTAAACAAGATTGTGCCGCGGTCACTGCTTCCTAATGGTGTATGGACGTGAACATCTTTGGTGAAACATTCATAGCAGATCAGAATTAAGGATATTGTAAACCCTTCGAAACAGTTTTTCATGTTGAGTAACACAATTCTCGGCGTGCCGAATATCTTCGAAACAAAGTATTCTCAACTTCTTGTTTGACTGAGCTCGGGACAATCTCAGATATTGCTGACATTCTAAGTAATAAGCCTAGCCTTACCTGGCGCACCAAACTTACCGTTTGTTCAGAGAAAAGTACTTCAATAAAAAAAGTACCATGAGTAGTAACTTTATTGACATTTTACTGTTCTGGCAGTGTGTCAAAAAAGGACAATCATAGTTGTCACAACCAATCTAATCAAAAGGGTAGTAGCGGTCCTTAACTAGCTAGAAAGTCCCTTATCCATTAGAAACAAACACAGTAGCTTGAGTTAGGTGAGCTATAAAAGAGAAGTGAAACGAAGAACCAGGCTGTCGATCTAGGAGGCGAAAAATCGCAATAATTTTGTTAAGGAATGTAATAAAAAGCAATTAATGATCACACAAACTTCAAATTGAGAGAATCTGGAATATGTAGCTAGGAGAGGTTAGTGTGACGATTTTAAATAGTTACCGGGCAAACCAATAAGCATGAAAGCCACAATAACCAGCTTCAGTGTTAACGTAAATGATGGGATTCGTGCGAATCAGAGAAATTCAATAGAAACGCAAAGTGGACTCCGGTAACCATCTAATTTAGAATCAAAAATTAACTGAATTTATAGATTAAGGGTTGAAGAAGTATAACTTCACATTCAGGATTAAAGAAAGACTCCATACCACAAAAATGTCCATGTAGAGATAGCTTTATAAACGTTCACACAAAATTTACTAGAAGGACTTTATACTAATTTTACCAAGTTATTTTATTTGCCTGAAAACTTCCGTACTGTGCACAAAATTAAATGAACGTTGGCAGCAACGTTTGATTTTAGATTAGATTTTTATCGTTTTCCTTGGCTTATCTAGTGTCGAAGTTGATGACTAAAACTTTGTAAATAAGAGGTGTGCGCATCTAAAGAAATGTTTAATGTTTCTCAATTCTATGCTTCTCCTCATTACTTACTTACTTACTTACACCTGTTACTGCTGACAGAGTAAAGGCCACCGACTACTATTCTCCAGCCAACTCTGTCCTGAACTTCACTTTCCAGTTCTGTTCAATTTTTGTTCATTCTTCTCATGGTGACAAGGTGGATAAACCTTAAATTGATTACGTTTCTTCGTTACCGTGTTGAGGATAAGTCGAAGCTGTTCTGAAAATACTACAGAGGCCTGAAAAACTTCTTTTGTGACAGTGAGCAAGCGTTACGAGACGGAAAGGGAAATTCGTACTGTAAAAGCTCTTTAAAAAATCTGTGTAAATGAGCCATAGCTTATGGGAAGACGCATTTCTTCAGTAATTAAAGACGGCATATACTAAATAGGGTAGAGGTTTATCAATTCGATCTTCTCAGTTTTCTTTGAAGAATTTACTTTAGTGCTTGACATAGGATTCACTACCCAGCCGTTAAGTTTTTGATGACACAAACTTCACTTGATTTACTTAGGTTAGATCACTGCATCCGTGTTTGACTTCACGCCAAGAAAAGAAACCTGGTGTTTAATAACATCCATCTTCTGTACTTAGAAATTTGAATACCATCAATATGGGTGACTTGTAAGAATGGTTAATTTAACTGTGTTTGATGGCAACTGTAAGATCCCCGAAACCAAAGTTTTTCGTGATTATCAAACCTAACTGAACATATCGTGATGACCAGACGAATTAG